CTCAGCAAGCGCCCTCCGCTCAGTCGCCCTCCGGCAAACGCCTCGACTGGACGGACGAATGGGGCGGGCGAGGCGCGGCGACTGAGATGTTCGTGCCCGCGCTGCTGCTGCTGCTGCTGCTGCTGCCGCGCTGCCTTCGGGGCCACGGTGGGTGAAGGGGCCGACGCGCCGGAGGCGAGCGCGAGAGGGAGGGACGGGCGCTGGGCCCGGGGCGCCGCGGGCCTGCTAACCGCCCGGCGCTGCCTGTGTCCTCAGGGGGAGAGCGGATTCTCGCCCCGCCCGGGGATGTGCACTTCCAGGCCCATATCTTCCACCACCTCCTTCTCTGGGAGCCGGGCGCGCACGGCAGCCCGGTCGGCGGGATCCTGTACGAGGTGCAGTACCGGCGGTAAGGACGGGACGAGGCGGGAGAGTGAGGCGGGTGGGGTCGGGTCTGGTCCTCGCCTGTCTTGCGTCCCCGGACGGCGTTCGGCTTGACTTCCCACCTCCCGCAGGGTCGGCAACGACAGCTGGAGGGCCGCCGCCCATTGCACCCGGATCGCGCTCCGCTACGGTGACCTCACCTATGAGACTCGGAAGCCCGCGGCCAACTACTTGGCCCGGGTGCGCACCGTAGCCGGGAACCGCACCTCCGCCTGGAGACTGACGCGCCGATTTGCGCCTAAGGAAGGTAGCGTAGCTGCAGAGTCCTTGGGGCTCTCTGAGCTTGGTTCTTTTCTTACAAACGTTTCATTACCCGGCCAGGTAACATCTTCAGTGCTGAAACAGCGCTACACGTATTCACCTCTATAGGGAGCATAGCCCCTGGTGGGAGACAAGGAACAGCCTTAGGCCTCCCGCTTTTTCTGGAGGGGTGAGACAGCGCTCCTGGCTGGCTCTCCTCCACAGTGTGGCTCTCCTGCACAATGTGGGGTGGGGGGGCACAGCTACTCAGGGTGACCCCTTCGGCAGGGAAGCCAAGCAACTGCTTAGGGCCCGCTGCTCACCTCCTTCTCCGCAGCAACTCTGTGGCTCTCCAAGGTGACCCTCTCCAGGAGCGGCAACCAGCTCCATGTCTCTTTGCAGCTTCCCACCAGCCGCTGGGCCAACCTCACTTATGAAGACAGCTATCAGGCGTGGGGGGAGTATCACGCCCGTGTCCGGAGAGTGTCCAACAATGCCCAGGTGAGCCTCTCTCTCCATTGCATTCAAGCCTGGGAGCTGTCTGGGGGAATTGTTCACTGGAGAGGCAGCTGCTGCAGCCCCACGGGAGCCCAAGGTGGCCTGCCCTGAGCGTGGCAAGGAGGGAGGCTTCTCTGGCCTGATGAGGTTGTCCTCCTCATGGTGGTTGTCCTCCACAGTTTGTGCATGTCCACAGCAGCCTGGAATTTGACCTCCCCCCACTGCTATGGGGGGAGCAGTACTGCATCAGTGTGAAGCCTCGTGTGGCCTCCAGGCCAAATCCTGCTGACTGGACAGAGGAGCAGTGCGTCTCAATACCCCCCTTAGAAGGTGAGCACTAGCCTTCTCCCTGTGCCCCTGGCTCCCTCCCTACACCCTGAGGAAGGCAGGGCCTGTGGCAAAGCCTGCCCACATCCTGTCCCAGAGAGAGCTCACCTGAAGACAGGGGCGTCTGAACTGGGGCTGGGTGAGAGAGAGCCCTTGAAGAGACCCCAAGGGAGGAGCAGGCACTGCTAGAAGCTGATTGTGGCTCCTGGGACTGTATCCTGCCTGCATCCAGAGGCCACACACACACACACACACACACACACACACACAGTGGAGGTCATGTCTTGGAAGCAGCCCTCTCCTGGTCCATCTAAGTCAGTGTTCTTGCAGACTACCTTTAGAAGTGTGGAGGCCTCTGGGTGGCTTTGAGATACAGTTTGGTTTTGGTCTTTCGACACTGGAAGCTGGTTGAGTGGGGAGGTGCTCTACTAGCCTCAGCCAAGACTAACAGGGGGAGTAGCCTTTATCTACAGTAGCTCCCCAGCATTAGGGTCCTCCTAGTTTCTTTACTGCTCCAAGCATGACAACCACCCTTGGCATTCATGTCCTCTTTGGATCAAGCTCTTGGCTTATTTCCTACACAAGCTGCTGGTATACTTGACTACCACAGTTTGCCCAGCACTGTCCATCTTGGATGAGTAGCTTACCCTGGTAAATAACTCACGGGGACATTCCTTTGCAGGCCACACAGAAGCTCCTGTCCTTACCCCAAGTTTGGTCCTCCTGAGCCTTCTAAGTCTTGGAATGCTGGGTGCAGGGCTGGGCTTGGCCTCTGCCTACAAGAAGAAGCCCATGAATATGCCTTCAGTCCTGGTAAGACCCCCTTCCCCAAAATAACCACTGCTTCCCAAAGCCAGCTGGCCATTAAAGAAGTAAGAAGGAAACTTCTCTGGTGCTACCCAGATCCCAGTCCCTCACTGCCCAGAAAGGCAGCTGAGAAATTTGTCCAGAGGGCAAGAACCCCCCGTTTCCAGGGTATTTTGTGCTCCCCAACAATGGGGAGTCAGACTGCCAATTTTCTTCACTGCTGTCCTTAAAAACCAATATTTGTAGAAAAAGCTACCCTCACAGTCATCATAAAATCAGTTGCTAATATTCCCATTTTCCAGACTGAGACTGAAGCTGGGTTCACGAGACTTGTTAAACCATAATATGGTGTATCTGACTTGGGCTCAGCCAGCTCAGAATTATTCAACAAGCCATAGTTAGGCAAATTGTGGCTTAGTGTGCTACATGAAGCTAAGAGGGGATGATCCATCCACAGCTGTAGGGGAGGGATCTGATTCTCCATATCCCAGGCCAGACAGTTGTCCACTGCTGAATCTTCTTTCCCCTGGAAGAGGTTGCTTTCCTGAAGAAGCAGGGGAGAAGAATCTTCTTTCTGGGAAGAATCTTATGAATGGGGCTAATTCCTGGAAGACCTAGAGTGACCACTAGCTGAGCTGCCTAGAGACTCAGCAGACTCACTCTTTCCCCTCTTCTCTTTTTGGGTACCAGAAATTTCCCATTCAGCACAGCTTCTGCCAGGGACTGACGGAGGAAAGCAAAGGCCGAGTCCTGCACATGGAGACCGAGTCCATCCAGCAGCTGTTCTCCCTAGGTCCACAGGATCATGTACACTTTGAGAGAAGGAGGAACCACAACCCTGGAGCGGAGCTCCCAGAGAACAGCTGCCAGATGGAAGATGGTACAGGGCTCCAGGAAGGCAGTGGCTGTAGTGCAGACAGTGGCATCTGCCTGCAGGAACCCTCTGGCAGCCTGAGCAATCTGCACTTCAGTGGCACAGGGTCATCCCTGGACATTGGTCAAAAGAAGGGTATACAGGAAGATGTAGGTAGCTTTTGGATGGAGGAGCGACTACTGCTGAGTGAGAGGTCACCATCCAAGGACCTGACCCAGAACCATTTTTCTGGGTACAAGAAACAGTCAGGGGCTCCTTTGGATGGGGAGACCCTTTCTCAGCCCAGTTTAACTACTGGCTATTTGAAGCAGACCTTCCTTGGAGCCCCTTCTGGCTTGAAGGTGATAGCCCTCACAAAGAACTTTCTTCATAGAATGGATCAGGAGAAAGAGCAGTTCCCAAACAGCATGTCCTTGGAGGTCTTGGGACCATGGGAATTGCCCTGCAAATCGCCACAGACCCTCTTGTCATTGGGCTTCTCTGAACAGGAGCCAGTAACTCCTCCGTTGCAACTTTCTCTCCAGCGATAGCTGAGCCGGGATCCCGTTCTCCTGAGCTTTCCTTCTCAGTGCTGAGTGTAAGAAACCCATCTCCTGCCCAGAAGCCAAAAGGCAGAAACCTCTAGAGGAGCCATGTCTTGAGAATTGAGTGCACAGAGGGGGAGAGGGGTCCCAAACGCAAAGCTGAAGCTTGCCTCATTAGATTTTCTCTTCTCTTGGGTGGACACACCTCAGACTTTGAAAATGGTACCCTTCCAATGACCAGTCTACAGGATTGGAGGAGAAGTCATCCAGTCCAAATGCAGAAACAGAAACAAATACAGGTAGTCCTCGCTTAATGACTACAATTGGGGCCAGCAACTCCATCACTAAGCAACATGGTTGTTAAGCGACACATCATATGACCACCACCTGCCAGTTTACTGCCAGCTTCTCCACTGACTGCTTGTTAGAAGCCAGCTACAAAATGCACAAATGGCAACCACATGACTGTGGGACACTGTCACAGTCGTAAACACTTGCCAGATGCAAAGTGCCTGAATCTCAATCACGTGACCACGGGGACACTGTGACAGTCATAAGTGTGAGGACTGGTTGTAAAGTTACTTTTTCAGCACCGTCGTAACTTTGAACGGTCACTAAACAGGGCAGTCATTAAGCAAGGGCTACCTGTAGTAAGGCTCACTTTTTCTGAAAAGGAAAGATAGATTAATAGGAACTTGTACATGACAAAGCATGAGAGGGTGTGACAGAACAAGTCTGTAGATAGCTATGCTACAAAAGGAGAAAGCAGAGGTCTGCAGTAGAAAAAACACATGCATAGTTGGAACCTTATTAGTAAATCTTTGCATTGGTGTGAAGAGTGGAAGGCTTCTTGAATGAGGGTCTGTCCGTGTTTGGGCAGGTGTCAGCTCTGTTAGAGACAGAAGTCACCTCCTCCTGCCCTGTTTTGTTTTTCCAAAAATCAACATGAGCTGCACATTTGCTGAGGCCTTCCTGGCGGAGAGGTCCTGCAGTGATCACGCTGCCGGCCTGCAAAGATCCCAGCTCAGCCACTCCTAAACGGGGGAGACTGGTGGCCCCACAGTTTGAGGTCATCACTCAAAGAAGGGACTGAAGCAATGATAAACAGACCCAGGCCCCAGCAATCCAGTTTTCTTGGGGCACTCCAGGATGAGGAGCAGGTGATGGAGGTTTAGGAAGGGCCTGTGCTGGTCCATCTTCTTGCAACAGAGAGGGGATGCTCAGTGGCCAAAAGCTGCCCTCTCATGCCACAACTTGCCAGGCTTCCTCAAGAGGGCACCCCAGACCTCCTTTTTTTATTTATTTATTTTATTTAAAGAATTTATATAGCCACCCAACTCAAACAGTGTGACTCTGGACAGCTTACAAGAAACAACTAAGATAAAAACGTCAATGAAAAAGTCACATAGGGTGTTTGTTGTTTATACAGTAGTCTAGATGGAAGGAACATCTTAAAAAGTCTTGAACTTTTTTGTACAAGCCAACTTTATTTATTTAATTTATTTTAAACTCAACTAAATTATCTTCACCAATGTATTTCACCTTATCTAATAAATATTGTTTGGTCATGTGACAATCTGCTCCAGGATTAAACATGCAACACAACAAAGAATGCATTTCCGTGGCTGTAAATTAAGACTCCGGGGAGAGGCTGGGTGGTCAAATGGAAGCCCTCCCTCCACCTTGTGGCGTGACTGGGTATTTATCAAGAGTGGAAGCTGCCCCTTCCGACGTTCCCCTAAAGGTTGGCAACCTCAGTTCCCATGGCTGGGTGGCACTTATGCCACTGCTGTAGAGGTAGGAGGGGTGGCACGTTTCCTGCTGTCCTGAACAGTTGCAGCCACCCTTCCTCCAGGAAGGGTCTTTAAAAAGCAAAGGTTTTCCCCAGGAGCGGGCGGAGGAGGGCTCTACCCAGCGCCAAGAGGAGGGGGCACGGGCCGAACCGCTGCGAGCGAGGCAAACCCACCTGGGATGCTCAAAGAAGAGCAGCTCTCTCCGTGCCCCCCCCCACTTCAAGAGACCGGCTTCCTGTCTGCAGAGAATCCTAAATGCAAGCGAAGCAGCCCCCAGTGGGAACTGCCCGGCCACCAACCTAAGGGCATTCCAGGCCACTGTCCGACCGCCAGGGCCTCGGTCAACAGGGGGGACTGGGCTGCGGGGCCGTTACTGCAGCTGCTCTGAACTGCGGCCGGCCAAGAATGTGATCCGAGGAGAGGGAGGCTTCAGCAGAAACTGCCGCGGCTTTCTCGGGCACAGCGTGTGCCTGCTTGTGCGGCAAGGGCTGCCGCGACCTGACAACTCAGCATCACGCGCCCAGTCGCCAGCCTCGCAACGGCCCTGGGGCCCGGGCAATCCAGAGCCCGAGCAGGACGCGTGACTCGGCCTGCAGCAACGTCACTGCTCCTCCCACCCCCCCACCCCCGAAAACCGATCCCGCTGGAGACGGCGTCGTTCCTGCGCTGCCGCAGCCCCCGCGCGCGGCTCCCAAGTCGGTTCTGAATTCTCAAAGCCGCTTCTCGCCGTGAATTCAGCCAGAAGAAGGAGCGCGACACCGCGGAGAAGGACCGTGTGTGTTGGGTGCCTACCTTAGGAGGAAGAGGGCCCCGAGCAACGGAAGGCAAAGGCTTTATAGACCGCGAGGGCGACACGGCGGGAAATCCCGGGGATCCGAATGGCTGGCTGGTTTGGGCAGCTGGGGGGCCTTGCCAGTGTCCCTGGGCTGCGTCCCATCCTTAGGCAAAGGGGGCCTTTCAGGAGGGCAGCCGAGCTGGGGAAGTTCTGGGGAAGGAG